ACGCATGCACACACAACAGCGCACACACACACACCACACACACACACACACACACACACACACACACACACACACACACACACACACACAAAGAGGTTCAGTGGAAAAGAGAACTGGTAGGAAAATCAGTAAATGAAATGATGAATTATGTAACAACAAAATGCAAGGAGGCAGAGGAAAGGTTTGTTCCCAAGAGCAACAGAAATAATGGGAAGACCAGAACGAGCTCTTGGTTTACTCATAAGTGTAGGGCGGCAAAAACTAAGTGCACTAGAGAATGGAAAAAAGTAGAGAAGACAAAGGACCCAAGAAAATAAAGAGATTAGCCGAAGAGCCAGAAACAAGTATGCACAGAAGAGAAGGGAGGCCCAGCAACAATACAAAAAACAACATAGCATTGAAAGTCAAGTCTGACCCAAAGCTGTTGTATAGCCACATCAGGAGGAAAACAACAGTCAAGGACCAGGTAATCAGGCTGAGACAGGATAGTGGGGAATTCACAAGAAATGACCAAGAATATGTGAGAAGCTGAACATGACATTTAATAAAGTATTCACAATGGAGACAGGAAGGACTCTGGGAAGTCAGAATAGCGGGGGTACATACCAACAAATGCTGGATGAAATACACACAACTGAGGTGGGAGTGAAAAAGCTGCTATGTGAACTTGATATTTCAAAGGCAGTGGGACCGGACAACATCCCTCTGTGGGTCCTTAGAGAGGGGGCAGAGATGTTTGTGTGTCACTAACAACACTCTTCAACACATCCATTGAAACTGGGCAACCATCTGAGGTAGTTGCTAAATGAAGTCCCAATTTTTAAGAAATGAAATAGACATGAGGCATTAAATTACAGACCAGTGACACTGATGTGTATAGCATGCAAAGTCATGGAGAAGATTATCAGGAGAAGAGTGGTGGAACACTTATAAAGGAATAAGCTAATAAATGACAACCAGCACGGTTTCAGGGAGTAGAAACCCTGTGTCACAAACCTACTGGAGTTTTATGACAAGGTAATGGAATTTAGACATGAGAGAGTATAAGAAGGCCTTCGACACAGTTCCTCACAAGAGATTAGTGCAAAAGCTAAAGGATCAGGCATGTATGAAAGGCACTGCAATGAATCAGAGAATATCTGACAGGGAGGCAACAACAAGTCATAATATGAGTAGGATTCTACAGGGGTCAGTCCTAGGATCAGTGCTGTTTTTGGTACATGTGAATTACATGATGGAAGGGATAGACTCAGAAATTTCGCTGTTTGCAGATGATGTGAAGTTAGCGAGGAGAATTAAACTGGATGAGGATCAGGCAGGACTACAAAGGGATGTGGACAGACTACAAGCCTGGTCCAGCAACTGGCTCCTTGAATTTAACCCCGCCAAATGCAAAGTCATGAAAATCAGGGAAGGACAAAGAAGACAGCAGTATAATACCAAACACATCTCCTGAGGCACACACCAACCAGATAACTGCTGCAGCATATGGGAAACCTGAGAATAGCATTCTGTACACCGAGTACATCAGGCCCATACTGGAGTATGCAGCACCAGTTTGGAACCCACACCTGGTCAAGCACATCAAGAAATTAGAGTAAGTGCAAAGGTTTGCAACAAGACTAGTCCCGGAAATAAAGAGAATGTCCTACAAAGAAAGGTTAAGGGAAATCAGCCTGACAATACTGGAGGATAGAAAGATTAGTGGAGACATGATAACGACATAAAATACTGCAACGAATTGACAAGGTGGACAAAGACAGGATGTTCCAGAGGTGGGACACAGAAACAAGGGGTCACAATTGGAAGTTGAAAACTCAGACGAGTCAAAGGAATGTTAAGAAGTATTTCCTCAGTCATAGAGTAATCAGGAAATGGAATAGTCTGGAAAGTGATGTAGTGGAAACAGGTACCATACATAGCTTTAACCCTTTGAGGGTTTTGGCCGTACTAGTGTGGCTTACGACCCAGGGTTTTTGACGTACTAGTACGCCTGAATTCTAGCGCCCTCAAATCTAGTGGGAGAAAGCTGGTAGGCCTACATATGAAAGAATGGGTCTATATGGTCAGTGTGCACAGTATAAAAAAAATCCTGCAGCACACAGTGCGTAATGAGAAAAAAAAAACTTTGACCATTTTTTTGGAATAAAACAGCAACTTCGCACTGTATTTTCGTATGGTATTTATTGTTGTATTCTAGTTTTCGTGGTCTCATTTTATAGAATGGAAGACATATTACAGAAATTGAGATGATTTTGACTGGTTTTACAATGAAAAGTACCTTGAAATTGAGCTGAAAGTAGCAGAAATGTTCGATTTTTACCAAAGTTCGAAAGTAAACAAATCATGAAAAGCTTCCAATACACGTCAACTGGTGAGTATAATATTCTTTTGCAAGTGCGCCAATATTATTTATACCATTTTTTACACTAATGCAGTAGTCTGTATAACAGTAAATCTTCTATTTTTTGTGAGAATAAAACTCAAAGTGGAAAGCAAAAGAATGTAAGAGGGGCCTTGAGACGTGACTAATGAACAGAGGAAATGTTATTTTAGTGCCAGGAATGTCTTTCTTGTTTATTCTGGACCCTATTCGGAAATTGGCATCTTTTGAAATTTGTGTGAAATTGGCAAAATTGCTAAATTCTGACCACTGTACTGGATAATTGAAATTGGTAAATGGGTGGTTTCTTGCACTCATTCGATAGAAAAAATAGAGTTCTAGCGAAATATTCATGTTTTTAGTCGACTAGTGCAGTGGAATTGGCCGAAAATGGGGCTCAAAGTGGGCAAAATCGCCGATGCATAAACATCGCCGAGACCGCTAACTTCGCAAGAGCATAATTCCGTAAGTTTTCCATCAAATTTCATAATTTTGGCGTCATTATGATCGGGAAAAGATTCTCTATCTTTTCTTAAGAAATTTTTTTTTTTTTTTAAATTTGGCCGACCCTGAGAACAAGTCTCGGAGAGGGCCTGTCGACCCTCAAAGGGTTAAGAAGAGGCATGAGAAAGCTCATGCAGCAGGGAGAGAGAGGACCTAGTAGTGACCAGTGAAGAGGCAGAGCCAGGGGCTATGACTCAACCCTTGCAACCACAATTAGGTGAGTACACACAGACACAATAAACACATATATACATGCACACAATAAACACAACACTCCCTAACCCAAGACTTCAACATATTTGAGCAAAACAAATTTGTACTACTTTGAAAGTGACTTAGCGTTTTTGACAGCTTAGTATTTTGAATTTGATGTAATATTTGAACTCTTTCCTAAAGCCTACAAAGTAGGTCAAAACTGCTGTATTAAGAAATAGTCTTAAATATTAGCTAAGTGTTATCACTTAGCTAATACTGAAGAAGCTAATACTTCGAAGAGTCTTGAAGAATCACACAAGCTGCTAGCGTGTCCCGGAGCTGGGTTAGTAGCTCACTCAGCTCACACACTGAGATTGGGGGGTCGATCCCCAGTATGGCTAGAAACATTAGGACGTGTTTCCTTAAGACACCTGCTGTCCATGTTCGCCCATCAGTAAAATAGGTACCTGGGTGTTAGTAGACTGGTGTGGGTCACATCCTGGGTGTTAGTAGACTGGTGTGGGTCGCATCCTGGGACAAAACTGACCTAATTTGCGGGAAATGCTCTGCATAACAAGGGGCTTTCTATATAGTAGTATGTCATTGATGTCAACTATGGTCTGTATACCTAGTACATGTCTTCTTCTTTCAACACACTGGCCGTATCCCACCGAGGCGGGGTGGCCCAAAAGGAAAAATGAAAGTTTCTCCTTTTACATTTAGTAATATATACAGGAGAAGGGGTTACTAGCCCCTTGCTCCCGGCATTTTAGTCACCTCTTACGACACGCATGGCTTACGGAGGAAGAATTCTGTTCCACTTCCCCATGGAGACCTAGTACATGTACTTGTACTAATAAAGCCTATTATTATTAAGTGTGTTAAACTGTTCCCTCAAAAAAATTATGTAACAGGGCTCAGTTAGTGCAGTTTGAATGGAATGGATTTTGATTTAGTATCTAACCACTAATGATAGTTTTTTCCTCTCAAACTATTCAAATCATGTGCAAAATTGCGTATACAGCCTCTCCTCACTTAGTGACGTACTCGTTTATCGATCTCTCAGAATTACGATTGGCTCTCTGACCAGTATGCATACCTAAATAATGCATATTAGAGGGGATTTCCTCAGTTCTGTTTATTACAATATACAGTACACTACTGTATCAACATTTGAAAATACGTATACCAGAAATGTTATAAATGGCGCAAAGGTGACATTAAAATAATATCAAAGATGGTTGACACAAACCCACTACCATTATAGTCTGCTCCTCACTTAGCGATGAATTCCTTTACCGATGTGGTCTTAGGAATGAAACTCCGTTGTTATGTGAAGAGAGGCTGTAATCCAAATACACCTACCATCCGATTTATGACCTGCTCGACTTACGGCCACTCGACTTACGACCATGTTTTTTATGCCAAATTTCTGGGAAATAAACAACTGTTCGTGTTGTACACAGTGTTTATCCTAAACCTTACAGCATAAAATACAGTACTAACAGCATAAAAAGTAAAGTAAAACATGAAATACCAAAATAAAACAATAAAATAAAGTCATTACAAAAATGTTTCGTTGATATTCAGTAGTAAAGTTCGACTTACGACCATTTCGACTTACGACCGGTTTCTCGGAACTGAACTTGGTTGTAAGTCGGATGGTAGGTGTAATGAGAATTTCAGATTGGTACAAAATAAATTAATGGTATTTTTTCTCCTCAAACTCTTCAAATCATGTGCAAAAAATGACACATAATTCGAAATATGTAACCACTTCACAGGATTTAATATTCACACTAATCATGACCTAGCTAACCCCTGCTCCCCCCGGCCTCTCTCCAGGTAGGCCTAAAGCCCCAATCTACACCACATTCTCTAAAAACAAAAACAAAAAGTATATCTGCGATGTGCGCACCTTGACAGTGGAGTCCTTAGAGGCGGAGACCAGCCTAAGGGAGCCATCGGGAGCGAAGGCCAGGTCAGTCACTGGCTTCATGTGGTCAGTCAACTCCAGCAACAACTTTCCTGCAAGTCAAGTTGAGCCTTAAAAAATTGCTTCCAGCCTGAAAATTGTTAATAAATCAATTATATTTTATAGTAGGAGTAGAAGACTAGCTAGCATGATGTACTAAGTAGTTGACTAGTTAGAATGATGTACTGAGTAGCCAACTAGCTAGCATGATGTACTAAGTAGCTGACTAGTTAGCATGATGAACTGAGTACTTGACTAGCTAGAATGATGTACTGAGTAGCTGACTAGCTAGGATGGTCAGTATCATATAAACATCAGTAGTCATTATGAAATGGGGTGACATCACATAATGAAATATAATGACATTGTACATCATTATGGAAGAGAAGAAATTTAACTTGTATGTTTGTATAGTGCGCGCTTCAGGTGATGGTCCCTCTCGCTCACTAAATACCATACACAGCTTCAAGACTACACACGACTGGGTCATGAATGATAAATATCAATGAAATCAATACAGAAACTCCCCTATGTATGAACATTTGTGTTGCGACCTTACGATAATACCATCACTGCTATATTAAATTTATATTATTTACAAACTTTCTTATAAAACTTTTTATTTATACTACAAGTTTTGTTTACTAGTGTACAGTATTTTTCCTGTGTTTAATATATGGTATACGTACATATTTTGGACTGGCGAACAAAGGGCCTTATGAACGACCGCTCAGAACTGAATCTGTTTGTAAGCAGAGGAGAGATTGTAAATGAGAGTTCAGAGGCATAGCCAGGAGCTGTAATTCAACCCTACGAAACCTATATCAATGGAATGAATTACAAAAGGATGTACAGTGGACCCCCACATGACGATATTATTTCAATCCAGAAGTCTGTTTGGGTGCCGTTATAAACCGAATTTGTTCCCATAAGAAATATTGTGAATTAGATTAGTCCGTTTCAGACCCCCAAAAATACACCTACAAAAGCACTTACAAAAATACACTTACATAATTGGTCGAGTTGGGAGCTGATCATTATGCGGGGGTCCACTGTAGTTTCAATGACAAGAAATTTTTAAAAATTATTTTATGGCCACATCATTAAGATGGAACACCACCAGCATAACTCCACTCCAGTAACTACATGGGACACCACCAGCATAACTCCACTCCACTAACTACTTGGGACACTACCAGCATAACTTCACTCCAGTAGCTACATGAGACACCAACAGCATAACTCCACTCCACTAACTACACGGGACACCACCAGCATAACTCCACTCCGATAACTACATGGGACACCACCAGCATAAATCTGCTCCAGTAGCTACATGGGACACCAACAGCATAACTCCACTCCAGTAACCACATGGGACATCACCAGCATAACTCTGAAAGTCAAGACACATGTGCAACATCTGGGTATCTTTATTGTAGATGTTTTGCCATCCAGTGGCTTTATCAATACAAATTTTAGGACATAATTAGAAGACAGTAGAACTACGTATATAGAATCAGAGTAAAGTGCTGATAATACCCACAGTTCACTTTTAGTGTTATATTGTCATAAAATTTTTTCCCCCCTAAATTTCCAATACCCCAACTACTTTTGAATGTCTCTGTTGAACATTAAAATGGTATAAAATACCGACAGGTTGTTAGGTAAGACACATATGCAACAGTTAGGTATCTTTATTTCAAAATGTTTCGCCTACACAATAGGCTTCTTCAGTCGAGTACAGAAAACTTGATAGAAGCAGAAGATGTGAAGACGATGTAATCAGTCCATCACCCTTGAAGTTTTGAGGTGGTCAGTCCCTCAGTCTGGAGAAGAGTATTGTTCCATAGTCTGAAACAATATGGAGTTGAAGTGTCAGGATGGAGCCTTGTATACTGCCAGGAGGTGAGATGAAGGCTATTACTAGAGGTGAGAATGTAATTGTTGCATATGTGTCTTACTAACAACTTGTCGGTATTTTATACCATTTCCATGTTCACTCTGTCAGACACTGCAACACAATGGTATCTTGGTACAGAACAAAACTACTCGGACAACTTCAACTAGTGAGAATGGATGGATTTGAGAGGGACCTGACCTCACAATGACTACATTCTCACCTCTACTAATGGCCTTCATCTCGCCTCCTGGCGGTATATAGGCTCCATCCTGTCACTTGAACTCCATATTGTTTCAGACTATGGAACAATACTCTTCTCCAGACTGAGGGACTGACCACCTCAAAACTTTCAAGGGTGATGGACTGATTACATTGTCTTCACGTCTTCTGCTTCTATCAAGTTTTCTGTACTCGACTGAAGAAGCCTACTGTGTAGGCGAAACGTTTCGAAATAAAGATACCTAACTGTTGCATATGTGTCTTACCTAACAATCGTCACTGCTGTATTCAATGACCATTCTACCTCATAGTCTTAATTGTGTTTAATACCTACAGAATCTATCTCCTTTTTTACATCTTACCACCTCACTGTTCTATCTTATTTTATTTGAAACTAACCATAACTTGTCCTCAATTATTCTACCTCACTTTAAGAAATACTCTATTGCCCAATTTTATTTTAAAATCTCTATTATTGCCCAATTTTACTTTAACCCTTTCAGGGTCCGTCTCATAGATCTACGGCTTTACGTTCAGGGTCCAAACCGTAGATCTACGCCATGAGCTCAGTTCACTATGATAAACTGTGAGTGGTACATTTGGGCCTAGAAATGAGAGAATACATCTATGTGGTATGTGTGCACCACATAAAACAAATCCGGCAGCACACTGTGTATAATGAGAAAAAAAACTGAGACCGTGATTTTCGATTAAAACAGCGACTCTGCAGTGTTTTTTCGTATGTTTTTTACAGTTGTATTTGCAATTTCTTGGTCTCATTTGATAGAATGGATGACATATTACAGAAATTGAGATGATTTTGATTGGTTTTAGCACTAGAAATGGCTTGAAACTGAGCTCAAAGTAGAGAAAATGTTAAATTTTTGCTGATGTACTGAATGTACAACAATGCATACAACCATATGACCTGTCTTTGTAATACTCACTTGTGCTTTATAGTAATCTGTTTACATTAAAGTTTTATCACCGATGTCATCATTGCTTAGTTCATCTTAAGTTAATTTTAAGCCAGCCCGTAATGCTATGCATAGTATAAGTGGCTTTGGCATACTGCTCTTACCTGTATTTGTTGTACCTCTGTATGTGTGCACAAATTTTTAAATAAATAAATAAATAAAAAAATAAATAAATAAACAAACGACCTCACACATCTAATACACACCAGCTGGTGGGTCTAATATACATTCACAAATATGGTGATGATATTTATACAATTATTACAATATTGCATAACAGTAAATCTTCTATTTTTTGGTGTGAATAAAAATTCATTATGTGAATAAAAAATTAAAATGGAATTTATTTGTAAAGCCTCAAAAAATAACTAATGAACAGAGGAAATGTTAGTTTAGTGCCAGGAATGCCTACATTGTTTATTCTGGAGCCTATTTTGAAATTGGAATATTTTGAACTTTGTGTTAAATTGGCCAAATTAACAATTTCCGATCACTTTATTTTGTAGTTGAATCAGTTGACTTGGCGATTTCTTGTGCTCAGTCGATAGAATAGAAGTAATACTAGTGAAATAGCTAAGAATTTGGTCAACTGGAATAATATAATTGGCCTAAAATGGGAGTCAAAGTCGGCAAAATCGCCAATTCGTAAATATCGCTGACACATCAAAATTCGTGAGACCATAATTTCGTCAATTTTCCATCAAATTTCGTACTTTTTGTTTTATTACCTTCATAAAAAGATTCTCTACCATTTCATAAGAAAAATTTTTTTTTTTTTTTAAATTCTTGGACACTGGTGCACCACTTCAGATTTTGGCCTCGGACCCTGAAGGGGTTAAACTATATTGACCAATCTTATTGTAAACTTCTATTATTGCCCATTTTTATTGTATACTTTAGTGCCCAACCTTATTGTAAACTTTCATCTTATTATTGCACTATTCTAATCTCGAGTTAATTACCCAGTCTTTACTTGCCCAGTTTTACTTTACACTTTATTGCTCTGTTTATTTAAAATTTTATTATTGCCCTTCTTTATTTGTAAAGCTTATTACCCAATTTTATTATAAACTTTTTATTCAATTTTAGACTTTATCACCCAACTTTATTTTACTTTTCTTAACCAAATTTTTTTTTAAACTAGTATTTTCAACTACAACTTTTATATTATCCTGTCTACCATCTTACTAACATATTATAACCAAGTCATTGACATTTTTATTTTTATCATTTTTTTTTATTCTTTTGCTGCCTTAACTTGTGTATTTTATCTTGTCAATTTAAATCTAGTTATACTCTAGTTCTTGTAAACAACTTATATAACACCTTAGTGCAATTGCAATTAAGAATTTTGTGCCTTTTTTATATTATTAGATTAAACCTTGATAGGAGTGAATGGAGACAAATGGT